TGTGGATAATACTGAGATAGGAGTAGGGTGTAAGGTGCTAAAATTTGATAGCCATGTTAAATTGGTAGGGCTGTTGAGTGACGTTGATCAGAAGGACCAACTTAAACCTGCCTTGAATAAACTAGTGAACTGGGCTTCTGTGTGAAAGATGTCGTACACTTATGATAAACATAAGGTGATGCACTCGGGTATTTTTCGCAGTGAGGACATTGGCTATAAAGTGGAAGGCCGGGAGTAAGGCAGGGTCAAGGAAGAAAAGGACTTGGGGGCTATAGTTTCTAGGGATTTAGAGGGTGAAAAACAATGTGTGGCTGCTAGGAAAAAGTTGCACGTAGCTTATGTCAGATCACACCTAGAGCATTGTGTACAGGTTTGGTCCCCACACTTCCAAAAAGATATAGATAGACTGGACAGGGTACAGCGAAAGGCAGCTAGGATGATGCATGGAATTGGAGACTTAGAATATGATAGGCTCAGGGCCTTGGATTTGTATCTACTGAAATATCATAGGCTTAGAGGGATCTGATAGGGGTATACAAGATTATGAAGGGGATTGACAAGGTAGATCTATATTGAACACTGGAAATTAGGCCGAGGCATAGAGGAAACCAGTTTCACTCAGCAAAAGGAAGGAGAAGAAGTATGAAGAGGCAGATGTCATTTACTCAAAGAGTAATGAACCACTGGAATGGGCTGACAGACAAAGTTGTGGGAAGTCCCTCTCCAACAATATTCAAAAACCATTTGGACAAGCTCTATCGGTCTAAAGATCTCATTTATAGCTAAATGTACGTAGGTCAGGTAATTAGTTTTTAGAAAGTGTACGGGACATGAGGTAGGCCAAACTCGATGGGCCCTTGTGGCTTTTTGTTGGTCGGATGTCTTTATGCCCTCATGTCTTAAGGTCCTTAATATTATGTACAGCCCAGATAAGGGTCTAGACAAAGCTTCTGAGTTCTATTAGTTTAGAAAGGGTCTATTGAGCCATTGTAAAATGAAGAGCCCCGGTGATTTACCTCATGGGGCTGGTAAACATAATTAATAAGCAAATCATGACAAAGCATGATCTCTTAAGCTCATTGGCTTTCAGATTTAGGTAGATTTCCTCTTGTGGTAGCGTCCGAATTCCATTCCAGCTTAAGGAAAGGAAAACGAAAGATAGCAGAGAAATACATGTTCTCTTTAACAAAGTGGCCATATTCAGCAATATTTGGGGAAAGGGAGGGCATTTGCTTCCAGGGACCCTCGTCAACCCTTGCCACCCCCTTGCCAAGGCTCTGGCCGCGCGCCTGGCCGTTCACATCTGGCGTTGGTGATCACGATCTCCCGATATAACCGCTGTCAATTGGCTCTCGATCGATGTTGAGCAAGGCAGGATGAAATAATCAAACAATAACGTATCATGGAGCTCATTTATTATGCAGCGGAATTGTGTTGGTTAGATCAGTATTCCGACTTTTAAGCATACAACTTGTGAGCTGTTTCATCATATCTCATGTTTGCTTCCCTTTAATATAACTATGTTTCCTTCAATACCCTCAAATGTGAAGCATTCTCTTAACCGTGCATAAAGACTGAGTTGAAGGAAACAAATTGTGGTCTACAGCGGTCTTATCCATTTACAGGTATATCAAAATTTCTAAGTGAGCTTATTTCATCATGTCTGATATCGACTTCAACAATTTCAAATTTGAAACATCATCAATACACGAAAGGCTTAGTTCCACTTCGACAGTTTCCGCGCAGTTGATATATCAGTAACTGCTGGCCGCGTTGAACGCCTCAGTATTGATCCGGGTGGGAAGAGGCCAGTGGTGTTGCAACACATCCTCGAGAATATTTAGTACGTATTTTTGCTAAGAGGGGAAACGGTGTTTAGTACCGATTCGTACTAAAAGTGGCGGTATTTAGTTAAACAGAGCAGCCCGGTAACCCGAGGCTGGGCGCGACTGAACCCTTGAAATTTGCTCACCACTCAAGAGCATTTTTAATAATCTTTGTAAAAGTGAAAAATATTATTAGGACAAGGAAGTGTTGGTGGTGGTTCAAACCTAGCGCACAATCGACGTCCGCTTGGCAGTCATTTCGCGCGCTCAGTGTTCAGATGTTCTGAACTGCGTGTGGGGTGGCTCGCGTTCAGGAGCTTTGGCAATGTGTGATTCCGAAGATTTTTACGTCTGCGATGGACAAAAACGCCGCGAAGTCCCTTTCCGGATATGAGTACATGCCAACTGAGTTGTAAGGATACCAAAAGAGTTTGGGGGACTTCTTACACCGTGCATACTTTAGAAACAGGTGATATTTTGGAACAGAGAATTGTCGAATTACCAGGCTTGAGAACTGTGAGCCAGTTTTTATTTAATATGCCCTGGGGCAAGATTTTTGTTGGCCAGTTTGCAGATATCTATCCACTGCACCAAATGCTTAAGCTACATTGGCGTGCTGGACCGTGAAGTCGAGCGGTCAGGGTGTACTTTCTTACCTGACGTTAGAAAGAATCGTACACCATTCGTCGTGTTTAAGGCAGGACATGGTCGGGGTGTACTTTCCTACCTAACGTTAGAAAAAATCATTGTACACCATTCGTCGTGTTTAAGGCAGGACATACCGTAAATAATCACAAAACAGGTAGATTCGTGCTCTTACCTCCGAATTTTTTATAATTACGGTTAGGTTAGATTAGTTTGGTTAGGTAAGGTTAGGTTAGCTTAGTTTAGCTTGGCTTAGCTTAGGTTCTGGTCTATTCCACGGCGTTGGACAAACATTTATAATAAGCATGTACACATCAATGAACTGGGTCAGTATTTACGAGTGGGTGGTTGCTGCAACGTCTGGTTCGCAGACGGAAAGTCGTGCCGTACCGGTAACGGCCCTTCTTGGATGAAGATAGTAGCATTTTTGATGGGTAGGTGTTGACCACGCGTACCATACATAGGCTACGAGCGATAACCTCTGCCCATTTCATGTCAGTCTCATTTCGTGCACAGAGACTCAACTTACGCTCGTCATACAGCATTAGTTGTTATATGTCCAGAGTTCTTATACATACTATTGTCAAAACTTAAATTCTAACGTTCTACTTCTAAGGCTGTGACGTTGTCAAAACTCGACGTTTCAAGCTGTACTTAACATTGTTTGTGACCCCATGATCGCCCGTGATCATCTCTTCACTGATCTGATCGAGCACACGTAAGCCGTGGTTTCAAGCTATGTGTGTAAAATGTGATAAGACTTACAAAGCAACATGACCAGTAATCGCCTCTAGTCCTCTAATCGCCTCTATCTCGCCTCTATCCGATTAAGATGGAAAACTTTCCATTGCGAATTTGTAACAAACACTGGAGACCAGCATTTGAAATTCAGTCAGCGCGAAAAAGCAGAAATACGCACGCGCCAATGGTTAAAGAAAGACAGCCGAATATCGGGCTACTTATCAGTAGCAAGTAGATTATTACTGGTGGGAGCAGATATTCACGGACCGATCAGGTGTAATGCGATAGCTAGCATGACCGTATCCTTTGCGAGCTTATATTCGGGAAAATCGTTCAAATTTAATCCGTGTGGAAAGTGAATACGCCTACGCATGGAGACAGTCACGGGGGGCGAGGAAGGGGGGGGGACAGCCTCCCACCGAAAATAATAACATGGGCCCCATTTGTGTGGACCGGAAGTAGTAATCTGCATAGCTCCGCCTCAACTTAGGAGAACTTCCTTTGTCCGTGTACCTGGCAGGTTTGCATGATACGCTGCGCCCTGATCATAACTTTGCGTTTTTCGTGATGTTCAGAGCAGTGTTCGTGGAGCTGTATAAAATGAGGAAGAGCCATCTTTTGTTACGAGGCACGTATGTTTCCATGGACGACTGAACAAGTCGAGACCAACGCCAAGCCGCGGCCAAACATGAACTACGCTCATACGGACCCGCGGGCTGCCCATGAGACTTTGCATAAATGACAGCCTGTGGATTCACATTATCGCGGCTTGTGAGTGGTAGTGGCCAAGCAAACTATGTTCAGGGGTGGAGCAAATGTAATTTTTGAAGCGCACTGCCACTCGTATGAAACGTGCAGAGATGCATCAAACGTACATTTCACGTTGTTCCGGCTGAAAAGAACGTTATCACATAGATATATCGTGTTCTGCATGTTGGTTTGGCTATCTGTAATTAGAATCACGTGCCAATTAAGCGTCAAACGTGACAAACCACACAAACGTCTCAAGATCGCAGCATTCGTGGCTCGACACTCACGGTTGCTATGCCGACAGATAGGGACCGAACGCCGCACTGCTCGGGGTGCCAACAAGTCGGCCCCTCGCACAGGTAAGGACCGGGCAGAGCCGGCCCCGCAGACAGGTACAGACCGAGCACGCCGGCATGTGGGCAGTTGTGGAGCAAGGCCGACCAGCCCCGCACATAGGTACAGACCAAGCACGGCAGAATGTAGATAGGCACGGACTGAGGACGGCGCATCTAGCGTGCACCTGACCCATCAAGCGTAACAAAGTGCAGCAGACAACAGGCTCGCCACACTTGCCACGCACTCGCACGACACCAGTGGCGGCACGACCACAGGGTGCGAGGTCGTATGAGTTGGAAGTGCATTGTAAATGGCTTGCCACTCAAGGTTGCCACACACAGCATCATTTTATGGACATGAGAATATCCCGATGTTGCTGCCGCCCTGTTGCGAAAAGCCCCGCGTGTATGTTTTTACTTTTCGTGATATTGCATTTTAATGGCTTTCCGCATAGGCTTGCGAGGCACGTCATCATATTCTTAAAAGCATGATAAATGATCAGCCCGCTGGTCGCATGCACATTTTGCTAGATAATTTTTAATTATCGATACGAAATTGTTGATGTTCCGGCTGCCTGCCAGCATTACGTCCTGCGCATAGCAGCCCGCCGCGATCTGGTCTTCGCACCAGTGACGTCACGCAAACGCTAAAGGAAGAAGGGGCCAAATCACCGAACGGTCTTATCTTTCCTTTACGGCGTTCGTCCTAAGATAGGGAGGCGGGGGGTCGGGGGCGTCATGCCGTCTCCCTACTGTTTCAGGAATCATTAATATTTCAAGGTATGGTTTGTGTTAGATGAGCGTAAGTGCACCTCACTCTCACAATGGCAGCCAATTGTAGCATGCTCAAAGTTGTCCAATTAGTCTAAATAGGCTCATTGGTGTCATGTTTGTGACTGGTTTTCCATGATTCGGCTATTGCTTAAATGAGTAAAATACTATTTTTCACATTGCATTGCGCTACACAAACTTTTTGTCACAACCACATCAATAGTGATCACCGCCCACCATCTAAAAGCTCAAGAGTTGTACAGGAATGTGTTTTTGAAGGGCTGGAGAGAGTTTGTGAATGAATATGCTTTCCCAAATTTGGAGGCATCTTCTGTCATTGCACATCCATGAAATGTCAGTGTTGTCTGTCAGTTGTTGTATCAATGTCCCATCATGTTTGTGTTGCATGTGGTCCAGAGATGCCCCATTTTGTAAGTGCATTGTCAGGCATCTGAGAGTGTCATAGTCACACCAATGTGGAACAAAGTGTGTTTGGAATGACGTTTGCAGGCTTCAGTGTTGCATTTGAATTGATCAACATAAGACCGGGCATTTCCTGTCGCTGTGTAGATGACATCTTTGTGGAAGTTAGGGACATCGACCAACTAGAGCATCTAAAAAAAAAGAGGAGCAGTCTGCCTTAAAGTTCAGAAAAGAACTAAGTGTGCAAAACACGATACCCTTTCTTGCTGTGAATGTTGATGGACAGGGACAGCAATTTAAAATGAGGGCATATGAAAGCAGACTGACAACACGTGGCTTAAGCGCTGGCAGTGAGAGTCCTCAATGCTACAAAATTAGCATCACAAGGTCATTCATTAGACATGCCATTAAGGACTGCTCTGATTGGACAGGACTGCATTCGGAATGGGTAAGAAGCAGACAGATCCCGGTGAACAACAGTTTTATCAAATTCTGATGCTGCAAATGAAATACACTGACATATGACAAGACACTTTGACAGCAAACCAAGACAGGACAACCGACCAACCAGTCAAACTGCATTATCAAAATCAAGTGACATCCGCCCACAAACAGGATGAAAAATATCCATGGGAAATCACCTCTTGACATGTAAAAGGCAAGGGCAACCACAGAATAGGCCTGTGTCATTTATTATCACAGTAGGAAAATCTCTTACTTTCTTATGAGAAAGAGCCCAGACAAACCCAACAAACTAAAATGCCCCAACGTAGTGTATGAATTCAAATGCAACATCTAAGGCTGCAAACTTCGTTCCATTCACTACATTGGTGTGACTACGACACTCTCACGACGCCTGACAATGCACTTACGTGACTGTGCACGTCTGGATCACATGCGACACGAACACGTCATTGACTCGACAACGACTGACAGACAGCACTGACATTTACGGACGTGCAATGATAGAAGACGCCTTCAAATTTGTCAAAGCATATTCACTACCAAACTCTCTTCAGCCCCAAACAGACAACAAATTATTGTACAACCCCTGAAAAAATAGGTGGTGGGCGGTGAGCATGAGTTCCTTGTGTCTTTGTAGTGTTCCCATTATGGATGTATTTTATATGTATCAAAGTAAAGACAGGATTCTGTCTTGCTTCAATAAGCCATGCCTCATTTGTGTTCTGTGATTTTTGAAATGATTTTTTCAGTAGAAGTGCGCAAGTTTTGTCCTTTAAAACTCATTTAACTTACGTATTTATTATTTTATTTAACTTATTTATTGTATCACTCAGTCTTCTCCGACAATGAGATGGGATTTCTAAACGTAAGAACGTGAAAAGCAACGAATATATGAGTGATTTTGGTCGACCCATCTTTAATTTAAATGATAATTCCAAGTCAAGAGCCCGCAAACTAGAATGATGCATAAAAAACTTGTCAATGTTCATTCAGCAGTTTTTTTAAAAAATTGAACATGCATGAGAGGAAGAATTCTGCCCAAATATTCCAATATATAGTGTATAAATACATATCCATATATATATATATATATAAAGAAGTGTAGCAGTTCATACACATAAATCCACATATCTGTCACCTTTTTGAGTGTGTTTGATGCAAACATTAGCCATGCCTAGTATAGAAATATAACCTGTATGCCATGGTAAGCTCTGAATAGCAATTGCTGTTGATTACCTATACAAATTATGAGCATGTTCCTCCTACCCCTTTAACCTCAAAGTAATGTTTTACATTTTTCATATTCATAGATGCATTGATATTGTGCATGGTTACAATTTTCAATATAGCTTTAAATATCCTGGCTGCTCAATGTTATCCACTGTTAGTGCGCAAAAACTGTTTGGTTGAGTTCGGAATAAATAGCAAATGTCTCCAAAATTATTTCACCGGTTGAATTCGGAATAAATAGCAAATGTCTCCAAAATTATTTCACCCTCAATACAGATTCAGCGCCCCTTAAACCTACTCCAAGCTAGTTTGTCTTGTTCTGGAGGAGCAACAGCAACAGGCCCAAGATGTCTTGTACTGCTTGGTTGGAGGCAGAAAGAATGAAGGAAAAAGTAAATGAACGAGGCCTGTGTGATGTTCAAAATTCGATTTTCTTTCCATATCCGTACAATTAAAAAACAGTGGCCCTCCTGGTTAATCCGGCATTGACCGGGGGAGGGGGGCGAATCTGTGCATTGTCCAATATTGACAATAATCCACTAACACCTTTTGGTATTGCCGCAAAATCTTCAGTAGCTGTCAATTGATGAGTTTTACGTTTTGTGGCAAAGTAGCGACTGTTAGACCCCAATAGATCAAGCGTGAATGACGTCAGAGGAACGTCACGTTTCCGACTTTTTTACGAAAGCACGTAGCCGAAGACAAATTCACACACAGGCTGGACAAAAGAACATATCTTGCATCTGTAAATAGGAATTGTGAGCCGACTGGTCCCATCATTCATGTGCCTTGTGGTTGCGTTGTTTTAATATTACACATTGAAATCCTGGCGTGTTAAATAGCAAAAATAGTTGTAAAAAGTACACCTAACATTTTTGGTCTCTGATTCAGAATTCAGAAAACACGGAAAAGGTGTCCTAGATACGGCTATAAAGGATGCCCATACCAAGGTTCGAGCAATTATTGCCAACAATGACCGAGTTATGGCTTGAAATGCACCACAGCGCATGCTGCCCGTGCCCAGGTGGGCCCAGGGCCGCGGCGGCGGGCGGCCTGGCCCGGGTCCTCCGCGGCGGAGCAGTGACGGGGCGGCGGAAGCCGTTCAGCAGTTCCAGAGGCCAACAGACGACCACTTGATTGGCGGCAGGGTTGAAGGGTATCGGGTTGCACTGACGGCAGGACTGAGCCGTCGAAAATAGCGCGAACATCGATCCAACCGCGTATTCACCACCGAAGTCATCTTTTTCACCGCGACATGGGACGTTTTATCAGCAAATAACAGCTCATGCTCATCGGCCTGATGCCCATAATTGTGGCGAAGCCCTTCCACTTTGTGTTTAAATGGTTCAACTAGGGCGGAGTTAAAAAGACCAAAAAAAAAAAAAAAATAGACCGAGGGTTCAGCTCTCATTTGAGCGGCACTTGGCCTTGGCTCTAGGTTTGGTGCGGCTCGCACAACGTTGCATACCTTCATATGTAGCATGGTTGATCAGGGCGCAATTGTTTCACACCATGAGGAACGCTTCTAAATGAAATGCGTTGTGAGAGCGGTCAGATGGTCCAAAGAAGCGTTTTTCGAATTTGACCTCGACCTATGTCTTTAACACACATTTAAATGTAACTTTGTGGTGTGGTGTGAGGCCACACGCCCGCGCTCCCGTTTGCAATTTGAATCTTTGATTCGGCCCAGCCGTTGTTGAGATTAGTAGGGGGTCAAATTTGCCCCCCCCCCCCCCCGTCGGTCAATGGCGCGCTGCTGAGGACCCCGAGCAATGCCGGGTTAGCATACCTTACCTTACGCTTGTTGGGATTTCAAGAGGCAAAATCCTGCAGGTCCGTTCTCGCCGAGCTCATGTGATTACCATCTGGCTTGGTCTCGGACTGGGATGTGGGACATTGTGAAGGGAGCCCTGTTATAGGCAGCCCGTAAGTTGCGAATCAGTCATCGAATACGCGAAGTGGAATCAAGCACAAGATTGTTCTCTTGGGTCCTCGCGTTGTTGTCTCGTCGTTAGCATTCATTTTATTCTCTTGATGGCGTGGCCTTGCTTATTTGCTTGTTCTCCTCAGTGCATCGTTTTTCTTTTCAACCAGAATGATACGTTTTCCATTGTGTGTGTCAGGTTGTTGGGATGTGATGTTGTGATAATGTTGTTGATTGGTGTGATGTTACGGCCCTGATTAGTAGCGTTGGCGTACATAATTAACATAATTCCATGCATAATTCCTACCTGTGTGCGCTACTCATTTCTTTGATGTGGCTGTAGACTGCGCTCAAGAGACAGAAAATATGCAACGCAATGTGAAACAAATGGCATAGTCGCATAGTAACCTTAACTGATAAAAATAGATGTATGGATGCTTAGCTTTTGTTACTCACGTATCATCACGTGGGTATTCTCTTTTCTTTGGCAGATGACGTTCTTCTCAAGCCTGTCACGGTACAAAAAAACAGCACTACCTTCAAGACCCAAGTATGCCACCTCATCAGGTTAGTACCATGAAATGTCAGCGTGTGTGTGTGCCCCGAAGTGTGTGCGCTCCAGGGTAGGCCAAACCAGGTCATCGTAGGAGAATTAGACTATGGGTGGCTTTCATCCTTGAGAACCATGTAGCTGATGACATTGGGAAAAGGTACATTGCGCAGGGATCTGCACACTGGTTCAAATGTCAACGGTAAGCCATTGTGCGGGTTTCCAAGCCAATGGTTTCTATGTCCAGTCTGTTCAATAACGCAAAACCACAGGACCTCAGCAGTCCAAACGTTTTCCGTCAAATGTTAACACCTGAGCTTGCGCTGCGACTGTGTTGTGTGGTCCGCATCTCGTGGTTTCATCCCAAAGTGTTATTTGTCATGCATGTGTTTAGGTGCTTTCCGAAGGTTTATGATTCCCTGTATTTCAGGCTGCCGGAGCGCCATGCCGGCGCTGGGAAGACGGTGGCGCCTCGTATCGCTGCTGCTGGTGTCGGCATATTTCACATATCTGTGCTACGACTTCGTGGTGCCCGGTTTCAAGGCCGTGGGGTGGATGGTGCGAAGCCGATACGTGAACCAGTGGTTTTTCCTGTCGCCTGAACTATCCAGCGACATGCGAAATGACAGCCTACTTCTATTTTGGACGCCGCCATTTCAAGATCCGGCCTTCGGGGGTTCGGGAAGGAAACCTGTTTGCAGGTTGTGCGGTGCGTCGAAGCTTTCTACTAGTTGTTTTTGTTCTGGATCCGCTCCTTTAATCGTACTTCCCGCTTCATCCTGCTTCCTCCGACGGCCCGTTTGTGTGGGGCAGGCTTCACGTGCCAGCCACGTGTGGGCCGAGAGCCGAGAGGCGCGTGGTTGGGCCTCCGTCCGGGCGCCAGGCTCATACCTCTGTGCGAGCTTAGTCCCGGCGGTTGTGCCCCCAGGTGCATGTAGGCGTGCCCCGCCGTTAACCATTCTGTTTCATCCCATAACACTGAAATAGTAGTTACTGGCCGGAAGGGTTCGAATCCAAACAACCAAAACCCAACCAACCTGTTATTTTCGTTCGTGTTTGTTAGCTGCGTTGCAAAAACGTCCCATACGTGAAATGCACAGCTCACGAGATTCATGGGGTCTAATGGGTCATATGAAATCGTACAATGCGTGCTGGCTTGTATGTTGTGAATTGTGTGTATGGACCTTTTTGTGCATGTTTAGGTTCTTGTGATCAAAGCAAAACATTGAATGGATAAGTGCAGCTTGATATTTCATGTTGCCCACAACGCCTTTGCCTTTGCATGTTCGCTCAGTCTTACCGGGTCGCCTACATTTTCAGGTCAGTAATTGCGTAAGTACAAACGACCGGCGCTATCTTTCGAGAGCGCGGGTGGTGCTTTTCCACGGCTACGATCTCACCATGTTTGATGTGCCTTCCGAGCGTACGGCCCACCAGCTGTACGTCTACTGGTCCAGGGAGGCGCCGCCCATGCTGGACATGCCATTCGGTGCCCTCAACTCGGCCTTCAATCTCACCATGACGTACCGGCGCGACTCTGACATCGTGTATCCGTACTTCGAGACCGTCCGTCGTGAGCCCGCTAGGACGACGGGGCCGGCCGAGCCGGGCGGACCGCGTGCGACCGCCGCGCCCCAGGCAACGGCGCCGACCGGGCCGGAGCCGGCCGCCGCCGCCTGGGCGGTGTCCCACTGCGTCACGCCCGGCCGCCGCGAGCAGTACGTGGCCGAGCTGCAGCGCCACCTGCCGGTGCACGTGTTCGGTGCGTGCGGCACGCGAGAGTGCGGGGGTTCTGGGGCACCGCGGAACACGCTGTCTTGCTACCGCCGGCTGGCCCGCAACTACACCTTCTATCTGGCCTTCGAGAACTCAATGTGCCGTGACTACATCACCGAGAAGCTGTTCCTCGCGCTGCAGGCCGGCCTCGTGCCAGTGGTGCGCGGCGCGTCGCGCGCCGAGTACGCCGCCGTCGCGCCGCCCGACTCGTTCGTGCACGTGGACGATTTCGCAGGCCCGCGGGAGCTGGCCGCGCACCTGCGCCATCTGGCGCGAAACGCGTCGGCGCTCGCTCGCCTCACCGCCTGGCGGGAGAGCTTTGTCGTCCGGTACGTACACGGCTGGTGCGGGCTGTGCGCGCGCATGGTGCAGCAGGATGGGCCGGTGACGACGCGCTACGACGACCTGCGCCGGTGGTGGTACGACGGCTCGCACTGTCAGTCGTAGCGCTGCTGTCAGCCGCGCCGCTCCCAGTGTCCGGCCAGTCTCCGCCGCACGGAGCCGTCTCACCGGCAGGATCTCTAGTCCACCCTCCGGGAAGGAACGCGATTCCAAAGATGAAATTAAAGTGTTAGCTCACTACGTGCCTGTAGTGCTTAGAGGAGTCCGACACACTCACGTCGTAGCGCAATGAAAGGCGGTTTGAACATTGCAAGCTGAGTCATAGTCGCAGCATGAGTCATAGTCGGTGCTATCATCCGGCACAACTGCGCGTCTCACTGCCTCCGACGGGCGGCGTTTCGCGCTCTCAGGAACTTATTGAATTGACTTGCAATCGCTTCCCTAGGGCAACTACGCTTTTCTCCATTGAGAAAGAGTTCCTTGCCTAAATAGGTTCGTTTCCGCTTGCGATAGTACTAGGGTCGCCATCGTATTGGACCGACAGAATTGGGTCGCAGTATTAGGCCACGCTTTGTTGTTTTCTGCTCAGGGTTTATCAGCTTCACGCAATCATGTGATCGTTTGTGCACGGTTTTAAAATATTATATATGTATTGAGAATATGTGTCCCGTGGCCAGATAGGTTTGCGTTCGTCGTGCCTGATGTTTAGTATTTGTAGACAATCCTGATTGCTGTTGGAAGACTCTGCAACACGGTCTTTCTTTCGTTCTGACAGGAGGACCGGACACGGCTGGTAATCATTGCTCACGAATATGTGCCATATATGATGCGTAGGTTCACATGATCATGTTGTCTTTTCAGTATTGTATGATAATTTCACGTGTTAACAACAGTGAGGCGGAACACAAAACACTGGTTCTGAAATATGTGTGCGCTTTTCAATCGTACCAAGTAATCGTGTTCGACACAAATATATGTGAAATTTGAGCAGCTTTGAACTTTGTGAACGTGAACTTGGACAGAAGTCCGTAAGTATCAATGCCCATCATAAAACGTGTCCAGGTACGGCAACACCTCGTCCGGGTCCTGACTGACTCCGCACCCCCAGCAGTGTGTTCAGAGCGTGTAAAACATTTAGGAGAGCTCGGATGCGTGCTGATGGAGGAGCCTACTCGGAGCGACCGCCCTGGTTTATTGGCGAAGGTCGGCGTACATGCGTGCGAGCGAAAGAGCCGAGTTCGGTACCAAAAACATTCCGGAGGGGGGAGGTTCATTTCAATGTTGGCAGGAGCTCGAAGTGGTGGTAAGGAAGGGAACGCTTTCGAGCTAGTCACCTAGTTAGTGATGCCCTGCATGTGTGCACATTCGGCCGTGGAAAGGGGCGCCCGAGCAAACGCCGCAAATACGGCGTTGACATCCGTGGCTCCAACCATCCACAAGGCGCCGATGCAAATAAGGCAGCGAAGCTGGTGAAAGCCTGATGGTATTCTGAGCAAGCCAAGCCAAAGCCTGATCAAGCAATTTTGTTCATCAAACACGCCAGCGGGTATTTAGACCTTTAGACTGTGGCGTCACACGAGAGGGGACTCAACTCAGGGGACTCAGATTACTCGCACCTGGGACTCAACGGAGTAGCCGGTTCTCAAATTTGTGGCGTCTGCCGGCAGTCCTCAACAGCCTTGCGTTTGCTTCCGGATGGAGTTGACATCGTTTCAGGAATGTACAATGTTAGCGTTGAGTCGGGTTCGAATCGATTCCCTCGAATCTTCGGTGTGAGTCCTGGTCGGAATTAACCCAATTGCTGGCGTGCCTACCGGAATCGAAATTCAAGAAGAGCTTGAGGATCCAGGATTCGTAACAGGACAATGGGCGTTAACTTGTTTCAACCCAACTTGTGTGATGGGAGCCTTCCATGTAATACCTTTCTCGCCAGCCCAGCTCCCTCTAGAGACGTCCATCCGTTCCCCGCCAGCCCAGCTCCGTCATAACGCCCATTGGCTTCCCGTCAGTCGAGCTCTCCGCAGGACCACCCATCTGCTTTCTGCGAACCCAGCCTCCGCCACAAACACTCGCCTGGCCGTCGCCAACTCAGCTTCCCCATATGAAACCCACCCGCTTCCCGTCAGCCGTACTCCCCCATAAAGCACCCGAGGTCGGTCTTCAGCCCACCTCCATTGTACCCCACCCGCCGGATCGTCGCCAGCCCAGCTCCCTTGTTCCGAGACCACTTGTTCCCGTGAAGCCGAGGTACCTCGACCGCACCCACCACCACGAGGACTTAAGCCGGTTGACCTGTGTGCGTCTCAACGCTGCATCAAGCATGCGTTTTCTCGGCCAATTTCGTGTATCATACATTTGCGGCTGATTCAGGTTATACCCAGAGGTAGGCACAAGTATTACAACGTGGGGCCGAGCGGGAAAGCTGCAATTTACATCGCAACTCTACTTGGTATGAAAAATGAGTGCATCGTGCATCCTCAAGATCCTGCTTTCGTCACGAATTTGATGTGCCTTGCAGCGGCGCTTTTCTGGTCGTCAGATATGTAATATGGAAATGCCAAAAACGCTTTTAGTTTGCTTTTAGAAACCTACTTTTCTGTGATGGCTCGCTTAATTTTGGAGCTATTACAAAATTTTGACCATTGCTGTAAACGTCGGTGCAAGTTGTTTATTTCCTACGAGCTATCTGTGGGTGCCGAAAGTGCATTGGTACACGCATCTGGTGAACTCCTGTGCATTTGGGGAAACCAGAGGTACGGGGTTCGAGTCCCTGCGGTGCCCGCCCTTCCTGCCAGGGTAAGAGGCATGTGACGCCATATAGCCTCAGCAGCTAAGTGAGTCGTAAATCAACAGTGACGACGACGACCTGTAACCTGTCTTGATGTATATACATGTGTTATGGTTTTGTTTCCGGTCATCGAACCTGATAGGTGCGACCAATATTTACGTCACGTAAGAAACACAACAAAAAGTTAAATCGGATCGCATAGTAACGTTGAACTGAAGGCAAGGAGATGATCCTGTCAGATTTCATTTTTCTGAAATACGCGACTAAAAAATGTCATACGTCAGAGTCGTCCCATAGACTTATTTAGAAGCTAAACACTTCAGATGGAACAATTGGAATACGTATTTCTGTAATCAATTGGTTGCTTCTAAAAACATTTAAGGCTTCCAAGAGTATAGAACAGAAAACGAAAAAAGGAATTTCTTCTCGTAATGTAACAATTTTGTCAAATTTTTGCTACGTTCATTTTCGCGCATGAATGTCTAAAATTGGCCCGTTTGCGGTACCCTATTAATTCGGCCAGACCTAGCTTGAAACGTCGACGTGCCAATTAATTTTCACAACCGACTTCCCGCAGCCCGTCAAAATTTGTGGCAAATAATTTAAGGCAAGTGGAAATCAACGCATTTTTAAAGCTGCGTGGTTCATTGAGCGTAATGAGTGGCTCACACACAACGTCAGTATGGTGACAATTGGGTTATTCTAGCTATGGCAGAAAAAGTCGCTAGGTACAAGCAATTGGAGAGATTGATGTTGGCATGTGACAGACAGGCGAGAGATCGACAGTAAGAGGCAACAGACAGGCGAGAGATCGGCGGTGGCAGGTAATAAACAGGCGAGAGATCGGCAGTAACAGGTAACAGACAGGCAAGAGATTGGCAGTAATAAGTAACAGGCAGGCGAGAGATCAGCGGTGGCAGGTTATAGACAGGCAAGAGATTGGCGGTGACAGGTAACAGGCAGGCAAGAGACCGGCGGTAACAAGTAACAGACAGGCCAAAGATCAGTGGTGGCAGGCAACAAACAGGCAAGATATTGGCGGCAACAGGTAACAGACGGGCAAGAGATTGGCGGTAACAAGTAACAGACAGGTGAGAGATCGGCGGTAGCAGGCAACAGACAGGCAAGAGATCGGCAGTAACAAGCAACAAACAGGTGAGAGATCGACGGTGGCAGGCAACAGACAAGCGAGAGATCGGCGATGGCAGACAACAGACCAAATTACCAAATTCAAGACCAAATTACGCTGTCAACGCTTTGTACCCGTACTGCGCTCCTTCCTCGCAGCTGCGACCCGTCGTCATGAGAACGACCGTGCGCACCTCTGCTGGTGTGAATAAAATAACTTCATGATTTGCTCAGCGGGCAACGACCTGTTACCGAGAAGCTAGTTGGTCCAAGTCTGAACCAGTGCGTCATATGGATCATGTGTAAACATTTTCACCCGCGGCGGGCGGCGCTCCCCTGGCCGTTCCGCGGTCTACATGACGCGGGCGCTTGGAACGGTAGATAGGCATCGTCCTTTGCGTATGGCGCGGGCCTCGCCTGCAAACGGCACCGATGTTCAGCTGATTCGGAGAACTCCCGCTAGATGGCAGGTGGCGGCCGCGCTGGCTCGGGAGGCCGAATCAGGTGTTCCAGGTGATAAGCAGGTTGGTGCGCAAGCGCAATGGCTTGTATCAATCCGGCGCACACCTTACGTAATCCGCGGATCTCGTCCTCTCGAGGCACTCCGCACCGTAGCCACTCTGGAGTAGACTCCCGCGGACGAGCTAACGAGGGCGGGACTGCGCCTTTATGGTGGGGGGCGGGGGAAGGTTCCTTCCTGCGTTTTAAATGTCCGCACACCGAAATTTTTCTTACGTGAAGTGTGTGTTTGATACCGATTTATTGATCAGGCAAGTTCTTGGGCGAGCACCGGTGTCTGGCATTACAGTGTATTGTTATGACAATAACCGCGTGGTTCCGCGTGCCCCGGTGCCAAGGCGCCTGCACCCTTTGGCCTCTGGCGTGATCCAGTGTCAGAGGATGTACCTACCTGGCCTGGGAGGGGAAGCCGGCGCCGGAGGGAACGCCGGGGGCGCAAGGGGGTACGCCCGGTACCAAAGCGCCGGTGCGTAGTCGGGGGTCTGTAACGCTTCACCTGGTAGATCAGCGCTCTTCTCACTGTCCATTAGAAATGTAAGTAAGAATGTTTTCTATATTCGGCCCCAAGATAATCGGAATCGCTGGCGTAGTGTAAGGAGTGCAGAGTCGCGGCCCTAGTCGTGGTCGGCCCTCGTCCGACGCTATGCAGCATGCGCCAGTCTATATGCACTGCGGGGCCGCGGGGTGCTGGCGGGTGACCTCCGATCTCGCGGTGGCGCCCTGCAGAACGTTCTACTGCGCGCAGATTTAGTCCCTACGTGCATACGTAACGAGGCAGCACAAATGCCTAATGAAGCACAGCAGTTAGGTTATCTGATAAGTGAACAGCTCTCAGACCATCTACGAAGGGACAACAAAGTATAAGCCGTGCAACCGAACAGCGAGCACCGACAAGCAGAAATCGTACGACCTCACCTCAAGGATCAACTACGAAACAAACAAGTCGTTACAGTACAGCGTTACAGGTCGAGCTTGATCGGCGGCAGCGAACCGTCGTGCTATGTGCGTTCCAGAGCTGTATCTTCCGCCGACGGCTTTCTTGCTGCCGCACGTATACTCCGATATTCTGGTTGCCCCCCCCCCCCCCCCACACGACGTCCGGCGTCTATTAGCTGATTCAGCTATCAGCGAATTGAAGTCTCAGGATGAGTGACGTCATGCTAACGTCAGGCAGATGACATAACCACCGGACAATTTTACACTGGTGGCGCGTTCGGTCGAGGGAAAATTATTCAACAAATAATTATCTATCAGATAATCATCAGCGGAGATTCTCCATTTACACTCGGCCGGTCCGAAAATTATCTCCCAGGTTATTCTCCCACGCGCCATCCACAGTCAACGGTCACAGCTGTGCATAGCGAAAACAGATTATCCGTCTTGACCATCCTGTGAAAACTCTCCAGGATTCTTCCTCGCCACGAAAATTACCTGGGATAATTTTCCGTGTCAGCGATGCCGAATACCATTTCGGAAAATTTGCTAACATTCCGGAGAACTTTCCGAGATCATCTGCCGGCCGAACGCGCTCTAGGTTTCACCCAAGGTTAGTTTT